TGTGAATCACGTGGCGCCCTGACATGAAACATGCCCGGGTCGGCGAGCACACTGGCTGAACATAATAATTGCGCAGATCGACGCCACTGGCCGCAAGGGCATCTAAAGAAGGTGTTTGTATTTGGCTGTGCCCATCCTTGCTATGAAACGAGACATCATTGTACCCCAAATCGTCTGCAACTATGAAAAGTATCCGCCACCATCGCAAAGCAACGAACGGAGTGCACTCATGACTCTCTCCTACCCTCAGCATTGAATGTGTCTCACGCTCTGTCAAGGCAACAGACCCCGAACTCACAAGTCTTCTCGGTGCTTCTGGACGCTTGTGGGGCGTCACGCATGACCTTCCCCGCTTCCCTGGAAGCGTTGGTCGGGCTCCACACCTCCAGAACGCAGTAAGATGGCCACAAGCTGGCCCCGCAATCCCGATTTGGAGCCCTCCTTGGGGCTCCTGGGCTGTCTGAGAGGCTCAGGGGGTTGGCCCAAGAGGCCCCAAAGTCGCGCAACCATATTAGGCTGTCGAGGAAGATTGGCAATGTCGCCCTTCTGGTAACAGAAAAATAAACGACGACCCGAGAGGCCCCAAAAATCCATCCGAGGTCCATGAGGACTTGATCTGCCAACCCGGTCGATTTAACACTGGAGTGCTTGGCGTGCCGGACGCACAGCGCATTTTATGACCTTCTCCAGATAGGTTCCCCACTGACCATCGGCCAATCCAGCCAACCCTTCGCATAACGAGCATCCGTTAGCGTGTCCAACAGGGTCTCCAAAAGCGCCCTGGTCGGCGTCAAATCTGGCTAAAATGCATCAACATTGGCTCAAGCTTGCCAGACTTGCCCCACAATGGGCTCAAAGAAGAGTAAGAGGGCCAAGTGTGGCACCGATATGGCTCCAAGACAGCTACACATGCGCCCCAAGAAGGCTCCATCAGGTCCCTGAAACAAGCGTTGGGGCAACACTATGTAATTATGTACTCCAAACTTCATAATAAAAACAATGAATCGGATTTGGATTACATAATTTCTCTCCCTGTACTCCGGGCCGTTTCCCGGTATTTTGGGTCCTTTCCAAGTGAAGTGCTTCAAACACGATGTGTGATACTCCGCGCTAAGGTAGCCCACTTCAGGCTCCGCACGCTCCAGAGAAACCCACTGCAGGCTCCTTAAAACCTCAGCGTCCTTACATGATCCTTCCGAGCGTTCCTCCAACATTTTTCTACATTAACGAAGATTCCGAACGGATGACGATTCTTAAAAGATACGTCCGGGCTGCTGAGGTATCAGAAGGATTCCAAGTTGATTACTGACCACTCCTGAATGATTCGTCAGAGATTCTGGCAACATTCCTGAGGAAACCTGATGGGTTCCTGAAAGGTTCCCAAAAGACTCCTGCGGGTTTTCTGGGGTTTCTCAGGGAATTTGAGGAAAACCATGTGATTACTTTGCGATTCCCGTGGATTGCTATGCGATTCCTGACGGCTCCTGGAGGGTTGCTGAGGGACTCTTGGACATTCCCTGCGACTCCTGCTCACTGCTGGGGCTGTGTGAAAGGTCCCCGAAAAGCAGTGATCGACTCCTGAAGGATTCTTGCGACTTCCTGGGGACTCCTGCGAGGCTCCTGAAGGATTCCTGAACATATCCTGGGCGCCTCCTAATGGGTTATTGAAGGATTACGGAGAAACTCCTAAGGGTTTCTTGGGCAGCTTCGACGTTCCCTGGGGAATCCTTTGAATGCGTCGAGGATTCCTGAGTTTTCCTTGGCGTTGCCTGACATGTACGAAAGATCTCCTGGTGCGCGCATAGGAATCCTTCCAGGATTCCATTGGAATCCTAGGGAGTCCGTCGGGATTCGGGAGAATTGTTTTGTAGGGCACTGCGTACTAGATTGTTTCAGACATCTCGTCGTAGATGGTGTAATATATCGCCTAGGACATGGACTCCGAGATAGTGTTGGATCTTGTGTGGGCTTTGTGAAGGACATAACGACTGGGGATGTGTAGCGTGCTGTTTGGGGAATGTGCTGGGAGATTGGTTAAACCGGTATGTTCTATGACAACGCTTGGCGCAATGCAAATCATATCGCTTAGAAGGGCGAGTCAAGAATTGGTCTGGAGGAGGTTTGTATTGCTGCTGATTGTATTGAGGTGATGGCTGAGTATGGGACATCGGTGAAGAAACTGTGTAAGGGGTTGTTCACCATGTTATGTACGATGATGGCTCAGGTATTGCTTGGGAATGCATTCGAACATGGGAATGCATTCGAACATGGGTTGACGTATCATGCATGTACTGACGGGATGAATGCTTAGGAGTAGTATTAGTAGTAGTGCTGCTCGTAGAGCTGCAATCCGATCGCAAAGATATGCCCTGGTGGTACTACACAACAAGTAGTACGAGTAGGGGTAGTCATAGTAGCCGACGTCGTTGCCGTACCAGCAGCGACACAAGTAGCAGCGGTATTCGTGGTCTTAGCATTCGCATTCGTAGTCAGTGTAGAACCTCTTGTAGTCGCTGCCGTTGCACTTGTCATGGAATTGAATTAGATCCAACGGTCACTTTCGATTACGCGGGCTCCCTAATGCTTCCTCAGAGCTCCACGGTGTCCCAGAAAATCATATACACCAATAGGATACTAGAGGAATGCAGGAGAGCCGTGCGACTGCGGGAGAGACACTGCACGAATGGTATATGGTCGTAGTTAGGGAGCTGGATGAATGACACATGAATGCTGCAATACAGGGAACTATACACGCTACAGGGTGGTACAGGAGTCAAGTAGTATACTTATGTGTGCCACTGTTCGTTAACTTCCAAATGTGAGCATGCCTACAAGTGTAAACGGCCCTCTTTGCTGGTTTCCTCTTGTTTGTTGCAATCCTCTGTGAATTGCTAAGTCGACCTTGAAGGTTGCAAAGCGGACGTGCGAAACTTTCCATGATAACTGACCGAACTGGACTCCATCCCAACCAACGCACCGCTGGGAAACAACCTAGCGCGCCGAGCAAAAAACACTGCTCGCCAGGGCAGTGGAGAAGCCAGATTGTTTTGGGGGATGACTTGAGCTGCCTTGGAGGGCTCCAGGGGGTTGGGGCCAACGGCAGTCCTTTCATGGCTGGTCTGGGGGTGTCCGCACTTGCTCGCCTGGAAGGTTTGTGATCCCCCTTACATACCTTATGACATCCAGAATCAGGCATTGCCCAGTTTGTTTTTAATTGTTGATCGGGTCCTGGCCTTTTCGATCTTAGGAGCGTCCAGCGCGGCAGGAGGCCCCCAGGATCGCCCCACGACGGCTTCCAAGAATGCCCTGAGACGGTCCAAGAAGGCTCGATGGCCTCAGGACGGCCCAAGAGATAGCCTCAAGACAACTCTACAGGGCCCCCCAAAAAAGCTCGGAGAGGCACTCAAGACGGTCTCCGAAGACGCCACACGGCCCAAGAGCGATCTAGGCAGGCCCGAGAAAGCCCCAGGATGACCCCAGCGGGTCCCAGGAGGGCCCTAAGACCCCAAAGGCCTGAAAAAGGCCCCAAGGCAGTCCCGAGACGGCCCCAGAGGGCCCCATCCCCAATCTTCCCCGAACGGTTTCGACGACGGCCTTGTGGAACATGCAATTCACAAGCGCGGCAACACTCTGATTGTCATGCCGTGACACACGCGCTTCCAAAGGCAAGGGGCGGTGCGTCACCGTAGGCGTCTTGGATATTCGGCCGCACGCCACTACTTACTGGTGCCCGCCTGCATGATGACTGCGTCGCTGAAGCGAGTCTTCTGTCAATACGCGCAGCGATCAGAACAACTACATGCCACGAGCTGAATCGCAAAGCTGCAGAGTAACATAACATTGCCAATCGCAGAGGTAACCTCCAGAGGTCTCAGGAGGTCTACTCTGGAGTCCTCCCGAGGCCCGAAGAGGGCCACGAGTGTCCCAACAATTCGATCCTCTTCTTCTTCCTCCTCTAGAGCCAGACAGGCTCGAACGCGCCGTACACCATCCTGACTTCGATCTCGATCTCGTCTACGTTGTCGGAGGGGGAAGCAGCGCACAGTCGACCTCGAGCCAAAGCGGCGAATTGCACACCTGGATTCGAGGGCGCATGACAGCTCGACCGCAGGAGGTCCCAAGCCCTGCTCAAGCGCCAATGCTCCCTGAACGCAGCAGATCGAGCGCCCGCCACCGAGCTTACGCCATGAGAGTTCCGATCGCGCGCGCGTCTCGCCCCTGGGGGGGGGGGGAACGCACGCACATCGCACAAGTCTGTTCGGTCAGCGCCGAGCTCAGTGTGCAGGAACAGCCATCATCGGAGGTGGACCAACCTCCCTTTCGCAAACCACCCTTTAGTGACAACGGCCTCGGACCGACACCGACGGACCTGGACCCGCAAAAGTGACTGCCGCGACGCCCTCTCGCTAACCGAGAACGGCCAATTCGCTAATCGACGTGTCAGGGTAGGAGGTCGATCAACCTCCAACATCATCGACTCGCAAGCCGTTCCATGATGCACATAGCGCCATGCAGAACCGTTCTAGGATGCACATAGCGCCATGCAGACATCGGGATGCATCGGACCGTCGGAAAATCGTGACGGAATCAGTCGGCTTTGACTCGATATCGAAGTGGATTGCTCGGTTGCCAAGATGTTGCCAGCTTGTCGCAGCGTTCTGGAGCCCCTGAGGCCCTCCAGGGCGCGCGAGGAGGGCTCTGGATGCCGTGGTGGCCTCCTTGGACGTCCCAGGGGCAACCTGGGCCAAGAGCACCTTTGGCGACGCCAAGAACTACCTCCGCGCCGTCGACCGGCTCTGACCCAGTCGAAGGTCTCACCTTGCCCACCTCCTACCAAAAATCCCCCCCTAGCCGCCCCACCCAGCACTGGACTTCTCCACAAATCCTTTCGAGGAAGGCCTGGCGCACTCAGGCAGCTACGGTGACTTCATGGGGATGGCCCAGGCATGGCTTCTATGTTTATGCAGCCTGTGCTCACAACGGAAAGCAGAGAGCGGTGCCTGGGCGTGTCGCAGGGCAAGCAGGTCTCCCGCTCCCGTAGCTCCTGCTGCCGCAAAACCAGGAGACACGCGCGCGAAGACGCCGACTTGGCTGCGAGATGGCACAGTTGCACCCTGGCTGCAAGACCGGACTCCAGACAAAGCGCCGTATGGGCTGATACTGGCCGCATCCCTGCGAGCACACGCGGAAACACTGCGATGACATGTTGGGTAAAAGAGCAGGCGAAGGAGCAGGGGGCCTCCCCGGCCGGCGTCCTAATGCTCCTCTCCCAACGTCCAGGACCAGGACGACGATGAGGGAGGAGGAGGAGGAGGCGGAGGAGGTAAGATGAAAAGGAATCACACCAAGGTTACGAGGAGGAGGAGGAGGAAGAGAAGGAGGAGGAGGAGGAGGAGGGGGAAGGCGGAGGAAGGAGGGAGAAGGAGGAGCGCAGCGCGCCCTCTGTTGTTCCCGTTTCCTCACCACCAGATGGCCTGCTCCAAACAACCCAAGGTAGCCGGAACTCTTGCCCGAACAATCACACGCTGCTCCCGTTTCCTTTGCTGCTCCCGTGTCTGCTGCTCCCGTGTCTGCGGCTGGTCTGCGGCTCCTGTGTGCTCTGCTGCGCTCGTGCCCCTCTCTGTTGCTCCGGTGTCCTCCGTTGCTCTCGCTCCGAGAATCAGGGGACGAAGACGAGGCGGGGTCCCCGGACGGCTCCAATGCCCCCAGAGGCCTCCAGAGATCCGACGGAAGCGACAGGCGTCCAAACCCTGAACCTCGATCCTCGTCACCATGACCCGCTCAAGCCGGTACCGGAATCCCTCCAAGACCCCCTCGCGCCATGGAACGGGCCAGAGGCGTGCGAAGATCTCCGGTTGCAGGTTCAGTGTCACAATGTTTCTAAGTTCGCGCGCGCGTGGCGGCCTCTGGGGACCCCGGGACGAGAAATACCCCGGCCGATGCCCGGGCGATGCCTGGGCGATACCCGGCTGACTCCCCAGGGCGCTCCACGAGCGCACCAAGAGGGCGCCAGGACGCCCCCTACACGGCCCGAGAGGCCTCGAGTCGCTGAAAGCTGGTTCCAAGACGCTCAAGGTAGTCTCCAGACGGCCCCAGAGGCCGCGAAAAAGCCCCAAGAGAGCCTCAAGAGGCTCACCAGCAGGGCCAACAAGCAACAATCGCCCCATTCCCTTCGGAAAACGTTTTTTTTTTGCATGTGCGACGTTCGGGGGTTCTCAGCGTCCAGAACTGCAACATCGTCCCTAGACGGCTCAACACGCCCCCAAGGTGGGCCCAAGAGAGCCCAAGAGGGCCCCAAGACGGCCTAAGAGGGCACCCATACGGCCCAAGAGGCGCCCAAGACGACCCAAGAACGCCCCAAGGCGGCCCCAAGAGGGGCCAGAGACGCCCCCAAATCGCCCCAAGCCGCCCAAGATGGCCTCAAGACGGCCCAAGAGGCCGCCAAGACGGTCCAAGAGGCTTCCAAGATGCCTCCCAAGAGGTTCCCAGATACAAACATCATCGATTTTCCTAAGTTGATTTGAGGTTTTCAGCCTTCTCGCCTTTTCGTCTTTCCGACGCTTCAAGATGGCCCAAGAGGCCCCCAAGACCGCCCCAAAACGGCCCGAGAGGCCCCCGAAAGGGCCCCCAGACGGTCCAAGACGTCCCCAAACAGGATGAGGGACTCGCGCCTCGCTCTGACATCGCCCAGACCGCGAAGCGCGAATGACTTCGTACCCTCGTGGTGGCCCTAGTCGGTGCAGGCGCGTGCGTCGTCTCGACTTCTCTTTGCGGCGAGACAGGGGGGAAAGAGAATGGGGCGGGCCTTCTCAGAATGCTCGAAGTCCCTGGGCCTTCTCAAACACTTTCTAAACCTTCCCCGAAGACACAGAAAACGTCTCAAAGGCCAGAGGACTTCTGAGAAGTCCCGCGGCCTTCCGAGAGGGTCCTCTTCTTCTCACGTCCTCCCCTCGCTCGCCGCCGAGTCAGGGGACTGCTCGGCATGAAGGATCGGCCCCAGAGGAGGTTCTGTGGCAACTCATGGGGGCCTCCCGTGTCATCCTGCTGGGCATCGCGGGCGCAACGCTGACCGACGTTCGTCGACACCAATTGACGCTCGATCGCTGCGCAGTCGAGGCTAAACCGGCGCTTTCTCATCGACTGTCAGTCGCCAGCGCACGCTACCAAGGACATGCAAGGCTCCCATGACAAAAGCAGGGGGCCGAGGAGGGAGGAGGATGTTGGGCACCTGCAGCCAGCCTCCCCGCCTACGTGGGTTCGAATGAAGAGTCCCTTGCCGAACACTCCCCAAATCTCGCTGGTGTGAGGCTCAATGCGAGCAGCGCCAAATTGCCGACAGCTTCGCAAGACGAACATCTGACGTAAGCTCCCGCAGGAGCAAGAACATGCCGGACAAACGGTACAAGGGGATGAGAACACGTGCCGCCTCTGAACAACTCCGAATACAAACAACAAGTGTAGACTGTCACTGCCTTCTGCGTTCCGGTTGTCTCTCCTCCTCCTTGTCTCGGCGGCGCGCCGAGGGGGCAGGCAGGGGGGAGGGCTTCTCAGAAACCAGGGTGATTCTGAGAAGGCCTTGGAGGCTTCTCAGAAGCATCTGCCTTCCGAGAAGTCCTTCCCCCTCCCCCTGTCCCCCTCGGCGCGCCGCCGATTGTCTCCGTCTCACCTCCTTCTCTCAGCCGTGCTCCAGATCTTAAAATTCTACCCGACGGCCCAAACTGCTTTGCGTCCTCGACATCCATGTCGTCAGCACCCGTAGTTTCGGCATCCTCCTGCTCCTCCCCCGTAGAGAACCGAAAGCAAGCGACATGGTGTTTGGAGCTCTTTGGGGGGATTTCAAGCCAGGACAAGTGGAGCAACCTGGAAGTTTGGAGGGGGGGCATCGATGCACTAGGTCGCACTGCTGCCAATCTGTGGGGCGCGTGGACGTCGGAAGTTTCTGGCCGAGCCTCTTCGGCTGAGGGGAGCAACAACCCACAAAGGACCACCATCTTGCCATTTGAGCTAGCTGAACCTTGGATCACCACCGTTGGTCTAGACTCAGATGCCATACGCTTGTTCTCCGTCCTCCTGCTCTTCCTCCTCCACCGCCTGACACTTCGAACATACTGATCGACCCACGCTTTCACTAATCCACCAATGTGCTGTCATGTCCTCGCAGACTTGAACAGCACTGCGTCCAGTGAACATCAACTCGGCGGTCTGGCAGTAGCGGCCAATGAGATAACATATGCGCGCGAATTGCTCTCACCATGGCTAGCGATACTCGTGTTTTGTTTGGCCCCGTAAGTGCGACAATGGGGCTTGCCAAACTCCCAACGTCAACGGTCACGCATGATGCGACCCTTTACGAGCAAGCATGAGGAATCAATATAGACCTGAGCCGACGAGATCAACACTGCATTTGTACTAATAATCGTAATGGCGTGTGACAAATACGCGAGCACTCGGCGCACCAATCCCGGCAAAGAACATCAATGGCATGACATGGCGGAGAACGTATGACAGAATATCTGGCGCTGTCTCGCGCAACTCACCCAACGACGCACCACATATGAACTACAAGACCAGCACGCAGAACGCATCATCGGAAGACCAGGATCGAAAACACGTGCTCCAAGCCGTGTGGTAATCAAACATCCCGACCAGACATCCACCATCACAATTCTTCAGCGCCGTCGGTCCACAGGATTATCCCAAGCCCTTCTGTCAGAGAAAAGCGACTTGAGACACTGGAAACCCAAAAATGGCTCAACATCTGTCTCCAGCCCCCTCCCGGGGTCCAACCGCACCAATTATCCGAGCCGCGTCTGGCCGTGACGAGGAGGGGGCCACCCGAAGGCCGTCTGCTGGTGTCTCAAAAACCAAGGGCGCCCAACTTCGCGCTTAGCCCTGCGCGGAGCGCGAGTGACTTCGCGCCCTCGTGCCGCCCCCCAGGGGAGGAGACAAGAGGAGGATGAGGAATCTACCACGGGATGTGTCGACCGCTATCTCAGGCGTCGTGGGATTTTCGAACGGACCAAAAATTTGGGGCCCAACCCTGGGATATACGATGGGGGGCGTGAATCCTCGATAGGGGTGCGTCTAGCCCTCCTGGGGTGTATACCAGGGATTTGCGATTTCTTTCTGAGCGGCCAAACTTTTCGGGCGGAGCTCGGGGATTGGGGGAGAAAACTCGCCTGCGAGAATCAGAGCCGAACGGCGAAGCACGAAGAACTTCGCGCACTCGAAGGCGCCCATGCAGACGGTCCTCCGCTGATTCTCGAGGACCGCGTCCTGCCCCGAAGCGGGCCGGGCCGCTGGCGGCCCGGGTCGGCGCAGATGATTAACCAAAAAAGGACCCCATTACCGTTTGGGAGGGGACCAAAACAAGGAGGGCCAAAGACATTAGTCGGGGATGGACAGACCCCCCTTTAGCAAAACGTGGTTTAGTGAAAACGACCCGAGGCCCAAACCTGGCGGGCGCAATCCTGGAAAATAACGGCCACGGCGCCCTCTCGAAAACCGAAAACGGACAATTCACTAATCGACGTGTCACTGTTGGGGGTTCTTTTCACCCCCGAATTAGGGAGAGGGGTATTTTCTGCAGGCGTACCAGACCAAGCCGCCCAGAATGATGACCCCTGATGCGAAGACGGGGACCTCAGTGAGGCCGCGCCTTCCTTCGGGGATGGACCGACACCCCTTTGGTAAAACGTGGTTTGGTGAAACAGACCCGAGGCCCAAACCTGGCGGGCGGCGCCCTCTGGAGAACCGAAAACAGACAATTCACTAATCGACGTGTCACTGTTGGGGGTTCTGTCCACCCCCGATTCATCGTGCTCGAGGAGCAGAGGCCGAGGCGGGGCGGCCGAGGCGGGGCGGCAGAGGCCTGCAGCGTCCTCTGCAGCGGCGAGACCTGGCCCGCACGCGGGCGCCGGTCGCGGTGCCGCGGCCGCTCGCCCCGCAGCTCCTCCCCTTCGCACGGGGTGCCGAACGTAGCCACACACTCGGGCGGGTGGCAGTGTGGGGGGGGGGGAGTGGCCCACATGGGGGGTGGAGAGA